TATATATATTATGTGTGTATTATATTGTGTATCTCTCTTTCTCTCTCTTTATATAAATTGTGTGATAAATGCCTATTTTTGGATAAAGTAAATAACCATAATGTGCACTTCATATGTCAAATGAATTATAATCCCACTCTTCAAGAGCTTTAAATATCCCGATGATTAGATCATCCTTTAAATCGTTCATGATCTGTCGTTATACGTGTCAATACCTAATGCTTTTAAAGCTCCAGTCAGCCCTTTCTCTGGATGGGAAGCTCATTTAGGGTCATCAGGAATGGCTGGAATCGCATCTCTTCCATCAGAGCCGTGGAATTGACTGAGATTTCACTAAGTGCGGCACGTAATACCAATGATTTCTCATTCCCCTGATTTTCCAATTTGAAAAGCATTCGATCATCCCATCCTCATATGTTTCTGTTGAATACGAAGTAATGAGCAGGCCGTTCAGGGCACAAATACGCCATTGACGTTAATTCCCAGGTTTGAGCGCATTGTTTGGGAGAATGTTCTTGGAAATAATATTCCCTTTGTGGTTTTGTCCTGGTCAGCGTGTTCCTAATAGAGATAATGACATGCAGGTATACATATTATAATAGCAGAAGTCTTGACACAACAGGCACAATAGGTTCGTTTGTCCGAGTTCCTCTGTGGCACGCAAAAACTGCACATTACTGCATGCTGGTGGAAACTCGAATGCAGCCTGTAAACCAGACACTTATACGACTCCACAGTAAAAGGTAATTGTAGAACATAATGGCCTAATGGCTGTTTCTCTTCCACGGGGCCAAATGATTGAATCCATGCTTCATCATGCTTAACCAACAAACACCTGATCCTTTGTTTGTTGGGATTTTTGACTAAGATAAGCCAAGGCAGACTAGTTTGTTGTAGTGTGTGTTTGTATTATATGCAGCATACAAAGTAGTTTTTGAGATCTAATTCACCAGGCACTGTTGTTAGTTAATAACTGAATAACAGGCCCATTAAATTGACTTAAATGTTCTATTAAAGAAATAGATCAACCAAAAATGACAATATGCTGAAAATGTACTCACCCTCAAGTCATCCAAGATTAGGATGAGTTTGTTTCTTCATCAGATTTGTAGAAATGTAGCATTGCATCACTTGCTCACCAATGGATGTGAATGGGTGCCGTCAGAATGAGAGTCCAAACAGCTGATAAAAACATCACAATAATCCACAAGTAATCCACACCACTCCAGTCCATCAGTTAATGTCTTGTGAAGCAAAAAGCTGCGTGTTTGTAAGAAACAAATCCATCAAGGTGTTTTTAACTTCAAACTGTTGCTTCAGGCTAAAATAGTTCTTAATCCATAATATTGCTTCCTCCAGTGAAAAAGTCCATCTCGTCTGAATCAGGAGAGAAATCTGCACAGATCAAGCACAAGCAAAAACAGCTCTAAACAAATCTGTGTGTGGATTTTGATGTGAGAGACAACAAAAGATGGACTTTTACACTGGAGGAAGCGTTATTATTGATTAAGAACTCATATTTTAGCCAGAAGCAACGGTTTGAAGTTAAAAACATCTTCATAGATTTGTGTCTTACAAACACGCAGATTTTGTCTTCTCCAGATGTTAACTGATGGACTGGAGTGGTGTGGATTACTTGTGGATTATTGTGATGTTTT